TGGGCGGCTCCCAACAGAACACTAAAAACAGAATAAAACTTCAAACATTAAAAACTTCCCTAAACAGGGCTGCCTTCAAATGTCTTCTAAAAGTCAGGTAGTTGTTTATTTCCTTGACATCTGATGGGAGGGCGTCACAACTGAGAAGGACCTCTGCCTGTTTCCCTGTGGTTTCGCTTCACGCAGTGAGGGAATTGCCTGAAGCTCCTTGGCGCTGGACCTCAGTGTCCGGGCAGAACGATGGGGGTGGAGACGCTCCTTCAGGTATACTGGGCCGAGGCTGTTTAGAGCTTTAAAGCTCAGCACCAACACTTTGAATTGTGCTCGGAAACGTATTGGGAGCCAGTGTAGGTCTTTTAAGGACCGGTGTAATATGGTCTCGGTGGCCACTCCCAGTCACCAGTCTGGCTACCGCATTAACTCAGTTTAATCAACTCAAATCAATTCTGCTCTTGCAGTTTAATCAACATTGCTTCTATTCATCCAACGATCTCAGTAGATCACCCAGCAGAGCTGAAATTCTGAGAGAGAAGGTGGTGCATTTTTCCTGTCCCTTGTAAACACACTTTGCACGGCAACGTAGAACCCAGATTGTGATGACACAATTCTCACGGAAGGGGTTAGGCTGTGTCTGGAGCTGCTCCGCTTTAGGTTACTTGTTGGTGTGTGTTGAGGGAGGGGTTTTCCCTTCAATGGAATGCTCGTCTGCACAAATAGGATAAAAGAATCACTGCACTTAGAAATCTAGCCTGTCAGGAAGACGGCTAGGCTAGTGGGACTTTCTGCAGCTACAGCTGTTGATAGATGACAGTGGAGGGAGATGCCTGTTGGAGTTAATTACTGTGCACAAGGTTCTTGCATATAATTAACAAGCAACAACAACACCCTAACCATTCCGATTTTCCTCGCCGGTTAATCCGTGCTTTGGAGGTCTTGGTTTTTTTAAGAAATACAACGTCCTGCTCCTTTTTTGCGTCAGGATACAGGTGCTATGGGGCACTCAGACGACAAAGGAAAGTACCAAAGAGTGAAGAAGCAGAAGGGCCGGAGGCAAAAGCCCCCCAACACCAGTGAGTCTCCCCCTTGCCCTCCACTCAAGCCTTGGAGGAGAGGTGGGGTATCCATACCCAAGGGTCAAAACCTTGTCCTCTAAGCCTCCCTGTTTGGCCCTTAGTGACTTTCCCTGGCCACGCTCCCTCTCCCCCTGGCACATAGCTGTCAACCGTCCCTTATTTGGCGGGAAACTCCCTTATCCCAGCGCCGTGTCCCGCTGCTGTCCCTTATTGAAGATGTCCCTTAAATTTCCCCGGTTTCATGCTCGCCCGGCTCAGGAGGGAAGCAGCGGCTCGGGGTCCTCTGCCGTGAGAGAGAGAGAGCGCTGGTGCCGTCGTCCTGGCGCGAGGAGTTCCATCTGCCCTTCTCCGCCCGAGAGAGAGGGGGGGAGGGAGGGAGAGAGACTCTCACCCACGCCACCCGTGAGCCCGGAGGCAGCAACGGTGGTGGCAGCTGAGGAGGCGGCCTGAGGGAGGAGGAAGAAGAGGGGATGGGGAGGGACGCAGAAGGGTTGCGCTTCAGTGGGCGCCGCGGCGCCGCAACCGCCTCATGCCGGATTGACAGCATCTGTCAATCCTACCAATGTATGTAACTCTTTACAATAGCAAAACCCCTTATTTTGGCTGCTGATCCCTTATTTTCGAGGCTGCTGGTCCCTTATTTTCAAATCTGCAAGTTGACAGCTATGCCCAGGCAACGCCCTTCACTGGGTCTGACAGTGGAGGAAGAACATAGGGACCAGGGCTATTAGCCATTGGCAGACTTCTCCATTAATTTGTCCGATCTTCTTTTAAACCTGTCTAAATTGGTGGCCATCCCGGCCTCCTGCAGAAGTGAGTTCCATAGTTTTAACTCTGCGCTGTGTGAATAAGTCTTTTCTGTTATCTGTCCTGAATCTTCCAACATTCAGCTTCGTTGTACGTCTGTGAGTTCTAGCGCTCTATCCACTCTCTCCACGCCAAGCGTAGTTTTATAAACTTCCCTTGCAGCTCTGAAACGCGCTCTCAGCTTCCTCCTGCCTCGCTTCTGCATCACGTTCCTTTGGAGCCAGCCGGATGAATTCTGGGCTGCCAAGTTTTTCCTGGGGGCTGGAATCGGGAGCTTGTATGCTCTGGGTGAGTCCACTTTGATCCAGTAAGGGCTGGAAACATGAATGCAGACGGAGGTAGAAATATATATATGCATTTTGAATTGGTCTCGGCCAACGTCAGGTCCCAAACTATCAGGGTCCCATGAAACTGGAGGAGCTCACAGCATTTTGGAAGCAGGTAGGTAGTCCATAAGAGGCAAATGTTGCATTCTAGAGAAGCAAAGACGGGCAATAACTCAAAGCACCTGCTTTGCTTGCAGAAGGTCCCATGTTCAATCTCTGACATCATCTGAGACCTCTGGGTGTAGGGCAGTACAGTATATATATTCAGTAAATAATAATCATCTCCAGATAGGGCTGAGGGAGACTCCCTGTTTCAAACCCTGGAGAGCTGCTGCCACACAAGGCAGACAGTATTTAGCTACATGGACCTACCGGTAACTCCTATGGTAGCTTTGTATGTTCCCATTTAAGGGACGCGAGTGGTGCTGTGGGTTAAGCCACAGAGCCTAGGACTTGCTGATAAGAAGGTCGGTGGTTCAAATCCCCGCGATGGGGTGAGTTCCCATTGCTCAGTCCCATCTCCTGCCAACCTAGCAGTTCGAAAGCACGTCAAAGTGCAAGTAGATAAATAGGTACCGCTCTGGCGGGAAGGTAAACGGCGTTTCCATGCACTGCTCTGGTTCGCCAGAAGTGGCTTAGTCATGCTGGCCACATGACCCGGAAGCTGTACGCCGGCTTCCTCGGCCAGTAAAGCCAGATGAGCGCCGCAACCCCAGAGTTGGTCACGACTGGACCTAATGGTCAGGGGTCCCTTTACCTTTACCTATGTTCCCATTTAAGTCACCCCTTTATCCAGAACCACGAGGACTGGTATCTTTATATTCAAGGCCATAGCTCAGAGGCAGAGCACTTGTCTAAAACCCTGCTTGGCACAGACAGGACTGATCTAGATAGAACAGTTGGTCTGACTTGGTATAGGGCAGCTCTTGTGCTCCTTTTAAAAATCACTTCCTTTATTAAAACAAAAAATGAGGACTAGACTTTTAACTTGATTTACCACAGTAGCAGAGCATGAAGTGTCAACAGTCCTAAGGTAGATGGACCAGTGCTCTGACTTGGTATGAGGAAGATGCCTGTCTCCTATCAGACAAGCATATTCTGAGGCTAGGAGTTTATAGGGCCTGGGGGACCGGGACTGACCCTTGCAGATTGTCAGCTGTGGGGATACTCAGCTCAACAACTTTGGGCAAAACTGAATTTTCACTTTTTGAAATATGGCAACTGCCATGGCTGTTGGAAGCGGTCTCATAATGCTTTAAATGCATGGTGTGAATGTGGCCAATGGTGGAGGATGGTAGGACCAAAATAAAGATGGTTTCCAATGGGGGAGGGTCAGAAAAGATGATGCACCATTCATTCAAGGGATAGAAGCAAGAGTAGGGCTGCAATATATTTCCCCAGACACATATGGGAATTGGGCTGTCAAAATGGCGTCTGGGCAGATTTTTGCTAAATCGGCAAAATGTCTGGGGAAACCCGGCTGTATGTCAAGTAGGGCGATGTTTTTTATTATTATTACTGTGGTACCACGGGTTAAGAACTTAATTCGTTCTGGAGGTCTGTTCTTAACCTGAAACTGTTCTTAATCTGAGGTACCACTTTAGCTAATGGGGCCTCCCGCTGCTGCTGCCCTATTTCTGTTCTCGACCTGAAACAAAGTTCTTAACCCGAGGTACTATTTCTAGGTTAGCAGAGTCTGTAACCTGAAGCGTCTGTAACCCAAGGCACCACTATATTACAAAAATGCTTTTTAAAAAATCAAAACAATCAGGATTTTCACTTTGGGGAACCCTAAGCAAGAGAATCTGCAGGTGTCACACCCAGGCCCCTCTCCTGATTTCCAGGCCTTTCCAGGATGCTGATTCTCCCCATGACCATCTCCGAAGAGCACAAGATCGACCTGATGTGTGGCATGGCTGGTGAGGAGGGACGGCAGAGGCTCTGGGGAGAAAGAGGAGGTGCCACAGCGGTGGAAGGATTCGTAAAGGGTTTGGGCAACAAAGGGCCCACCATCCTGGGAGACCTGTTAGCAGAGGGGCCTGGTTCCCGTTAGCTTTTTGCAAATACCCCTGTAACCCAAAACCTACACCAAAACCATGGCAGGATCTTACACTGAAAGAGGCTTATCTAGTTCCAGGAACTTGTGGGAGCCAGTGGGCATATTTGGAGAAATCGCCGTGGGGGCCGTGACATGGCACAAAAGGGCCGCCACGGACAGGGTGTGTGGCATATACCCTGTTTACCCAGGCCTTTTGACACCTGAGGTGCATGTTTGCAAGGCCTACGCTGTCCCTGCGGTTGTAATCTTTTCCAACTGTTTTTGGTTTTTGAAATATACTCGGAGCCAAGTGTGAATTTTACACTCTTTATTCAGCTTGTAGTAGCAATGAATCAAACTTTCCCCAAAACGTCTAGCTATATATACATTATTTACACAATGGGCCCCGTGTGATTGGCTAATTCCGGGCTGCTCCTGTAGGCCAATCAGGTTGCGGATTCACTTCCTCCAGAAGCCTGATTGGCTGCTCCTGCAGTCCAATCAGGTTGCTGATTCACTTCAACCAGGAGCCTAATTGGCAGCTCCTGCAGGCTAATCAGGTCACTGATTCACTTCCACCTGGAGCTGGATTGGGTGGCTCCTGCAGGCCAATCAGACTGCTGCATTCTGAATCCTATTGCTCTAGGATTTTTTTTGAGGAGTTGTACCCCTGCCCGTGGGACCTGCTGGTCAAGGGCAAGTAATAAATTCAATTATACTAACGCACAATGTTTCCCACAGGGACATAGCATGACACAAAATGGCTGCCACAGGGCGTGTGGCATGGGCATAGCCAGGGTTTTTGTTAGGGGGGGGTAGCCAAAGTTCTTGAGCTTTTTTAAAGTAGATCCTCCCCCAAGTTATTAAGCCTTTTGGGGGGAAATCATGGGTAAATATATACCCCCAAAAGAGGATATTACGTGGGGCAGGCTTTGGTTGAGAGGGGCAGGCTTCTCCAGGGGGCATAACCTCAGTTGACTGAGTACTTTCAATGGTTTTCAAATAAATGTGAGTATCTGGGGTGTGTGTATATGTTTTCAGGGCCCCCTGTTCCCGTTATTGTAATCTGCTTTTACTTTTAGTTTTTTAATTGCTGTACCTCCCCTGGGATCTGCTGGTAAAGGGCAGGTGATAAATTTAAGATAAATAAATGAACATGCTGTGGGGGGTGTTGAAATTCCAAAAGTGGTTTAAACAACCCCTTTCTTCAGAAGTGCAATGTGTATGCAATTAAAATGAGCTAGTTCCTCCCCAGCGCTGATAAGAGCATGGGGCGGCCCCACAGCATAAAAACTGACCGTCTCCCCCATCTCCCTCCCCTAGGTGTGGCTGCCCTGGGCTGGGGCACGTCCCCACACTTCCGCTGTGCCAGCCTCTTGGTGGTACCCAAATTCCTGGGGAAAGAAGGACGGATTTACATCCTCACCTATGTCTTGGCAAGGGTCTTTGATGGTACAATAAATACTCATATCTATGACTGCGTGAGAGAAATGTGTAAAATTAAGCTTGCTATATGGAGAAATTGAATGGAGAATTATTTTTCTTCTCTCGTAATACTATAAAACTCAGGGATATAGAATGGTACACAGTGTGTACAATACAGTGGTACCTCAGTTTACGAACTTAATCCGTTCCGGAAGTCCGTTCTTAAACCAAAACCGTTCTTAAACTGAGGCGCACTTTCCCTAATGAGGCCTCCTGCCACCGATGCCCTTCCACCATTCGGATTCCGTTCTTAGACGGAGGTAAAGTTCGCAAACCGGGACACTACTTCCGGTTTAGCGGAGTTCGTAAACCGAATCGTTAATAAACAGGACTGTTCTTAAACCGAGGTGCCACTGCCTAGGTCAGGTCAATGGCAGTGTCTCCGTATGTTCCTTAGAGTCTTACTGCCCTTCCCACCTCATTTTTCTTATTCCCACCATGGAACGCTCATCTTCCTGCCCTGGTCTGTCATTGGATCCTTTGTCAGCAAATTTTTAACGGGGTGTTTCTATTAGCGCAGGTTTAGGAAACCTCAGGCACCAGGGGCCTAATGTGGCCCTCCAGTCCTCTCTATCTGGGCTGTCAGAAAAAATAGTGAGCCAATAGTCATGCTCACGTCATACATTTAAAGCACCCTTACACCACTTTTAAGAATCATGGCTCCTCCCAAAGTATCCTGGGAACCATAGTTTCTTAAGGGTGCAGAGAGCTGATCTCTCATGGAGCTACAGTTCCCAAGATTCTTTGAGGGGAAGCAGCCATGGCTGTGAAAGAAGAGCGCTTTTGCATGCTGTGATCTTACTGGATTTTGAGGGCCCTGTTTTGTACAGGATAAAAGAATGGGAAAGGAGTAATGTAACACTGTATAAATTTATGAGGGTTTTTGCAGTAGCTGGGCTGTAGTGTTTAGTTGCTACTGATTGTTGTTTTCAGTGCATTTTGTACTGAATATGTTTTGATACGCCTCTATCCAGCATGATAATGTGTGTGCGCTTGCATGTATATAATACAACTTACTATATAATAAGATTGTAACGATGTTGTCATGCTGCAGTTTGTGTGGCTGCTGATAGTATGCAAAAAAAGAGAACGTATGGGGTGAATGTGATCAATAAATATTATTAACAGGGGCAGGTTTGAGCATCCCTAGTTTTTCTTTCTGGCTGAACAAGAGGGCTACCCACAGACGCTGTGATAAGCAGTCTAACTTATGGTGCCAACTATGCTGCCAGTGCCAAGAAAGCCACAGCAGAGGCCTCTGCCCCATTCCTGGATAGTTTGGCACAAAGGGTGCCACTCTTATTTCTTGCATGATGTTTGTCTCCCTCCTCCCCACCAGGTCCGGTGGCAAATACCCGTCACAACCTGGGCGAAGTGGTGCGTTCCATCAGCTGCACAGTGGAGATGCAGATTGACAATGCCAAGCGTGCCTGGAAGATTTCGCTGTCCCCTCTACGCAAGATTCTCAAGGACATGGTGGTGAGAAGCAGTTTACTAGCTCGCCAAGTGGGGTGGGGTGGGGGTTGGCAGTACTGCTAGTGCCCCCCAAAGGTCCCTGGACATTCAGCATGGGAGCTTCTGGCAGGGAGAAACCCTGGTGTGATTGATTAATAATATGTTATTATCTATTAAATTTGTATACCGTCCTTCATCCGAAGATCTCAGGGCGGTTCACAGTACAGTGGTACCTTGGGTTACATACGCTTCAGGTTACATACGCTTCAGGTTACACACTCCACTAACCTAGAAATAGTGCTTCAGGTTAAGAACAGAAATCGTGCTCCGGCGGCACGGCAGCAGCTGGAGGCCCCATTAGCTAAAGTGGTGCTTCAGGTTAAGAACAGTTTCAGGTTAAGAACGGACCTCCGGAACGAATTAAGTACTTAACCCGAGGTGCCACTGTATAAAAATGCAAGTTAAAAATGCAAAACTCGCCATATAAACAAGAACAGAGCAAAACTATAGCCCCTGCCTCCGCAAATACATTTAAAAGGAAATAGGTTAGTCAGCCAAAGGCCTGGTTGTAGAGGAAGCTTTTCAACTGGCGAAATAGAATGAAGCCGCCAGACGAACATCCCTCGGGGACAGGAATTCCACAAACAGGGAGCCACTGCGGAGAAGGCCCTTTTCACGTTTCCACTCTCCAGACCTCACGTGGAAGGAGGCACACATAGAAGGGCCTCAAAGGATGATCTCAGGGTCTGGGACACTTTATATGGGGAGAGGTGGTCCTTGAGGTATTGTGGTCTTGGGCCATTTAAGCTGTTTAAGGAGTCTAGGCAGAGGCTGAAGAAAGCAGCTCAACACAGAGAGGATAGTTTTCCAGGAACGGCTTGGCTTTCCAAGATGGGGTACTTCTAGTTCTCTTGGAGCATCTGCCTGGCCATTGGGTGTTGCTAGACTCCAGTCAGCCGCAGTCAGCATGGGATGATGGGAGGTGTAGTTCAGTGTTTCCCAACCTTTTTTGGGCAAAGGCACACTTGTTTCATGAAAAAAATCTCGAGGCACACCACCATTACAGCCCCGTGACGTCAGCGCGCAGCGTCACGCCGGGAGGGACGCACGAAAGTGTAAGTTTCAATTTTTTCCCCTCCCCCTTGCCTTCCTTCTGTGCCAACCGCCAAAAAAGCCAAGAATCGCGGGACCGCCGGCGGAGGGGGGGAGGGCGAGCGGAGGCAGCGGCGAGCCCCGTTCCTCCCCATCCGCCCCATTCCGTGCAAGGAGCGCGAACAGGTGTGAGAAGGGGGTCAAACCTGCGGGTCGGCGCCGGGGAACCTCCAAGCTTTGGGGGGGGGGAGGAGGCAGCAAAGCGAGGCAGGAGAGCGCGGCTTGGCTGGGTGAGCTTTGGCAGGGGCAGGGAATGAGAGCCGTGAGGCGGGCGCTGCGGACGGAGGCGCTGCCCGCCGAGCTCGCAGGCAGCCAGGCAGGCAGATGGCGAGAGCCCCGCGCTGGGCGGCCTCTCCTCGCCGCCGCTGCCCCGCCTCTCGCCGCCCGACTCGCCCGCCTCCCTCCAGGCAACATCTTGCGGCACACCAGGCAACGTCTCGCGGCACACTAGTGTGCCGCGGAACACCGGTTGGGAAACACTGGTGTAGTTCAACAATGTTCTTGTACTCCCAACTCCTATCAGCCCCAGCCAGCATGACCAATGGCCAGGAATAATGGGATATGTGGTCCGGCAACACTTGGGGGCCACAGATCCCCTCTTCCCTAGATTACATGGACCACTGGTCCCATCCATCAGGTCATGTGACGTGAGAATGGTGGAATGGGAGCCCTGGAATTTGCCCATCGTGGTAGCTGTCCCTTCTGCTTGGGGAAAAATATAACGAAGCAATCTTTTCCATCTGTGGGGCTGCCATCTCTAGTCCACCCCCCTCTGCCCCTACCTCTCCACCCCTGTTTTTTGCACCAGAGGAGCGGCAAGACCCTGAGGTCCGAAACCAGGGACGTCTCACGTTCCTTCTCAGAGCTGAACGAGCAGGTGGCCAGCGAGGCAGGCCTTGGGGTTCGCTCGGTGAGGTCGGCGGTGCACAAAGCCAACCCTTCCACACAGGAGATCTACGAGGCCAAGACCCGGATGCGCTGCACCCGTAAGCATATGGGAAAGGGACACGTGGGGTTGTGAGCACGGATTATTCGAAGGGTGGGCATGAGGATCAAATATCTGGTCAGCATCACTTTTGCTTCTGTTCACCATCCATCAGTTCTGTCCCGTTTCCACCTTTGTCAGAGCTTTATTTTATTTTTTTAATGCATTTAAACCCACATTTGACTCTGCACTCAAACCTGCATTTAATATCACATTCACACCATCCATTTAATTCACTCGTAATCCACTTCAACAGTCATATCTTTCCCCAAATGTCTCCAGCAGTTCTCAACCTGTGGGTCCCCAGATGTTGTTGGACTACAACTCCCATCATCCCTGAGCTCTGGACTTGCCACCTAGGAATGATGGGAGTTGTAGTCCAACAACATCTGGGGAGCCACAGGTTGAGAACTGCTGCAAGCCGCCTTTGTTCATTCATTTCAATGGGGCTACTGTAAGTAAACCTTAGTTGATGCCGCCCAAAAAATGTAAAAATATAGAGCATTAAAAAGTTGACAACATCAAATAAAAAATGGCAGTGGACACCAAAGAAGTTATTCCTGATAAATCCTAATCTTTCCCCTATATATCGGAGAGGGTGTATCATATCCTCATGAGGGATGGGATTGATTGATTACATTGTACCCAAGGAGCTCAAGTTGGCGTTCTCCTCCTAGTCATTTTACCCTGTGATGTAGGTTCAGCTGAGAGTGAAATTACTCAGATTACTGATTGGCAGATATGGCCATCTCTGACTTTTGTTCTACTAAATAGGACTCTCTTCCTTGAAGGTTTTTAAGCAGAGGTTGCATGGACATCTGTCATGGGTGCTTTAGCTGAGACTGCTGCATTGCAAAGAGTTGGAATAAATGACCCGCGGGGTCCTTTCCAGCTCTGCAATTCTATGTTTCTATGATCCTAAGCATGTTCTCGAACAGAAATCTAGATTTTAACCATCAGGAGCTGTTGAGTCTTTTACTCTCGGCTACTTGTGAACTGGAAGATGCTGCAGAACATAAATATTGAACAGCGGTATCGAAAAGTTTGGCATTGTGCAAAATTTTAGGGCAACCAGGGGGCAAAGGATAAAGGCCCCATCTGAGAAAATATGGAAAGCATTTATTGACTGCACAGCAGAGCTTTCCAAACTGTGTTGAGACGCGTCAGTGTGTCGGCTGCAGTGTGCGGACGCTCCCCACGCTCTTCCTAGGCCTGGAAAGGGGTTAGTTTAACCTCTGGTTTGCTAGTAAAACTGAATTACTCGTGTTGCAAAATGATGCATGTCTAAAAAGTGTGTCACCAACATGTAAAGTTTTGAAAGCTCTGCTGTACAGGATAGCTCAGTCAGTAGAGCGTGTGACTATTAATCTCAGGGTTCAAGCCCCACATTGGACAAAAGATTCCTGCATTTCAGGACCAGATGTCCCTCTGCGTCCCTTCAAACTCTGATTCTACTCTTCAAACTTTTCAGTCCAGTTCCCACTTTTAACCCAAACATTCATTTGTGGATTTCTGAACCTTTCACCAAATATTTGCACGGTGGCAGTGCTCCTGTCACAACCCACCTCGGACCAGGCCATGACCCACGAGTGGGTGCCGATTCACCAGCTGAAGACCTCCTAGACTGCAGACCTTTAAAGTCATCTTCGTCTTGGAACCTGTAAAGAAAAATCTAGCGAGGAAAACCCTGTTACAGAAACGATAAAGGAGAAAGGAAGCATTAAGTGTGAATAGCTGTCTTAAGCCTGTTACGTTAATGACTTGCCCTTGGCATCTGTTTCGTTTGATTTATTTTCAGTTTGCATTTTCAAAGAAGTTTAGCAAATAAAATAGTAACAACAACACTGTCGACGCTTTCCTTTTCCCCCTTCTAGAAATTATAGACCAAGCCATCAAACGCTGCCAGAGCTGGTTTGCAGTTAAGCATGCATCTTGCATGCGGACAATTTCCGTGCCCTTCATCAACCACCTGCTTTGCATTCCTATGAAGTTCAGCTTCCTCTGCCACTTTGCCAAGAGTGAGTTCCAGCCAAGGACAAGAGAAGAGAAGCTGCCATGATAATAATAACAATAATTTATTATTTGTACCCTGCCATCTGGCTGGGTTTCCCCAGCCACTCTGGGCGGCTTCCACAAAGACCAAAAATACACTAATATATCATACGTTAAAAACTTCCCTGAACAGGGCCGCCCTAAGATGTCTTCTGAATGTCAGGTAGTTGTTTATCTCTTTGACATCTGATGGGAGGGCATTCCACAGGGCTGGCGCCACTACCGAGAAGGCCCTCTGCCTGGTTCCCTGTAGCTTGGCTTCTCGCAGTGAGGGAACCGCCAGAAGGCCCTCGGCGCTGGACCTCAGCGTCCGGGCAGAAGGATGGGGGTGGAGACGTTCCTTCAGGTATACTGGGCCGAGGCCGTTTAGGGCTTTAAAGGTCAGCACCAACACTTTGAATTGTGCTCGGAAACCTACTGGGATCCAATGTAGGTCTTTCAAGACCGGTGTTATGTGGTCTCGGCAGCCACCCCCAGTCACCAGTCTAGCTGCCGCATTCTGGATTAGTTGTAGTTTCCGGGTCACCTTCAAAGGTAGCCCCACGTAGAGCGCATTGCAGTAGTCCAAGCGGGAGATAACCAGAGCATGCACCACTCTGGTGAGACAGTCCGCGGACAGGTAGGGTCTCAGCCTGTGTACCAGATGGAGCTTGAGGCTATTGCTTGTAGGGACTGCTTGTTGTGTGGCTAGCGGGCTGCTTTTAAGCCTCTTGATAACAGCTCTGCTACCTAGGCTGAACTACAGTTCCCAGGGATCTTTGGTGGGCAGGGGAAGCCACTCAGGACCTCCCTAAACCAAGGTTTGGCTTAGCACACCGTGTGAACCAGACTGGCGTGTTGGACTCAAATCCCGAGCCAAACCACGTGCTTTCCAGCAGAGGGTTCCAGAGGCTGGGCATCCCATCCTGTGAGTGCCCACCTGCCACCAGCAGTGGTACATCCCCCCCCACCTGCCCATCTGAAGTGGTACATCCCTGCCACATCCTTGCTGAGCACCTAACTCTCCTTCTGAAATGCAGCTTCGCTCTCCAGCTGCTTTCTTCCACCTCTTCCTCCTCCTCTTCCTCTGCAGTTATGCACACTTGGTGCCACGACAAGATTCCTGTGGAAGGGAACTTTGGCCAAACCTACGACCGGGTTAACGATTCCGTGGACAGTTTAAACCAGGACTTCACAGCCAGTTTAGCTGTCAAGGTGCGTATGGCAAGGGCGGTAGGGGTCTATATATTTATTTAAAGCACTTCTGCCCTGTTGTTCAGCTGAAAAGACCCCAAGCAAGGCTTAAGGTAAAGGTAAAGGGACCCCTGACCATTAGGTCCAGTCGTGGCCGACTCTGGGGTTGCGGCGCTCATCTCACTTTATTGGCCAAGGGAGCCGGCGTACAGCTTCCGGGTCATGTGGCCAGCATGACTAAGACGCTTCTGGCGAACCAGAGCAGTGCACGGAAACGCCGTTTACCTTCCCACAGGAGCAGTACCTATTCATCTACTTGCATTTTGACGTGCTTTCGAACTGCTAGGTTGGCAGCAGCAGGGACCGAGCCACGGGAGCTCAACCAGTTGAGGGGATTCGAACCGCCGACCTTCTGATCAGCAAGTCCTAGGCTCTGTGGTTTAACCCACAGTGCCAACAAACAATTAAAAAAATAAACAAACCCCAGGCATTTAATAATAATAATAATAATAATAATACACCACCCATCTGGCTAGGTTGTCCCAGCCACTCTGGGAAGCTCCTAACAAAATATCCAACAGACAATAAAATGACAAACGTTAAAGATTTCCCTATACAGGGCTGCCTTCAGCTGTCTTCTGAATGTCATATAATACTTTATATCCTTGACATCTGACGGGAGGGCGTTCTACAGGGAGGGCACCACTACCAAGAAAACCCCCTGCTGGTTCCCTGTAACTTGGCTTCTCGCAGGGAGGGAACCGCCAGAAGGCTCTCGGCGCTGGACCTCAGTGTCCGGGTAGAACGGTGGGGGCGGAGACGCTCCTTCAGGTACACTGGGCTGGGGCTGTTTAGGGCTTTAAAGGTCAGCACCAACACTTTGAATTGTGCTCAGAAATGTACCGGCAACCAGTGTAGATCTTTTGGGACCAGCGTTTAGGACATTCCTTTCCTTTCTTCTCCCCCACCCTCCCCGCATCCAGGAAGAACACCAGACCATGCTGGTCGGTGCCAACCTCTCCCACAGACACCTGGTGGATGAAGTCAACGAAGAGGTGGCCAAGCAGGGCGAGCGCCTGAGCACCTCCATGTCTGTGCTTCGGGTCCTCCTCTCCTGCATGTTCATCATCGTCTTTGCCTCGTGAGTTGGGCTGGGGGCGCGGCGGCTCCTGGGTGGGGTCAGGGAACCTATTTGGGTTGTGCCTGAGGCCCTAGATTTGAGCACCCTTCGGCACGTTGGCAACCTTCATGGATTTTGTTGGACTACATTCCCAGCATGTCTGACCATCGGCCATGCTGGCTGGAGCTGATGGGGGCCGGAGTCCCTGTAAACATCTTGAGGGCTGCAGGGAGGGCCTTCACCCCTGTTGTAGAAGCAAGAGCCAATAATTACAGAAACTATGCCTCTGCCCTGCCTACCGACCTTCCTAAGTCTCTGGGCGAGCGTTTGACACCTGGCTTTTCACTGACTGCAGCATGAAAACGTGTTCTGTCGTTATTCCGTGCGTGAAAATAAAAGAAGCCAAGAGAGGGGAATCTGTGGCCCTCTGGGTGTTGCTGGTCTATAGTTCTCATCATCCCTGATGGGAGTTCTAGTACCAACAAACAACTGGAGGGCTGCAGGCGCCCCATCCCTGCTTCACCCCTCTGCAAGAGCATTTCACGTGATCCCTGATTGGTTGGGATGTGTGCCCAAGACAGGGGTGGAGAACCTGTGGCCCTCCAGAAGCTGTTTGATTAGAATCATCCTCCCCTGCCCATTGGCCATGCTGGCAGGGAGGACTGATGGGAGTTGGAGTCCCAACACCATCCAGAAGGTGTCAAGTTCCCCTCTGTGGAGCCAGCGTGGTGTAGTGGTTAAGAGCGGTAGTCTCGTAATCTGGGGAACCAAGTTTGCATCTCTGCTCCTCCACATGCAGCTGCTGGGTGACCTTGGGCCAGTCACACCTCCCTGAAGTCTCTCAGTCTCACTCACCTCACAGAGTGTTTGTTGTGGGGAGGAAGGGAAAAGGAGAATGTTAGCCGCTTTGAGACTCCTTCGGGTAGTGATAAAGCGGGATATCAAATCCAAACTTTTCTTCTTCTTCTTCTTCTTCTTCTTCTTCTTCTTCTTCTTCTTCTTCTTCTTCTTCTCTTCCAATCTTGTGCAAGAGGAATGATTGTGGTGTTCCACATCGGCTGTGGGACTATAATAAGCAGGTGTGTGATGGGGATGGATTTTGAATTTCTACCGGTGGTGGGTTGGACACCAAAGCTGACAACCAGCAGCAGCCCAGTCCCAGAGCTTTGCAGCCTTCGGCAGCTGTGATCTGAATGTTGAGGACTAGTTGCATGCTATGTCATTGGTTGGTTTTTTTTAACGAAAAGGCTGCATCCCAGGCCTTGGCAGGAGCTTTTGCAGTGGGCTGTGATGGGTTGGGAGTGGAGTTCGGTGGGATAGGCAGACAAGATTGGAGTGTCTCCCCACCTCTCGCCACATTCTTTCCCAGCCCCATCTCCATCCTTCTTTCCCTCAGGGCGTTCTCCTACACAAACAGCTACACGCAGGACATTCGCTTCGACAATCTTTACATATCCCGCTACTTCCGGCAGATAGACGCCCGACGTCGGAAGCAGGTAGGAGCGGCCGGAGTTTGCCGCTTGGCTAGATGGCCGGGTGGTGGCGGTCAGCAGTCACAGCCAGAGGGGGTTGTGGTTGTAGGCGGCAGAGGTCAAAGGGCATTCGGGGGAAGGAAGCAGAGCCCCTGTGGGGTTCTCAGACCCATGAAGGATTCGTCCCTCAGCAAACTTTTAGTCACAAGAGCTGAAGTGGAACCTCCACATCCAGAGACAGTCTACCTCTGGATGTAATGTGCTGGGTGATGGCAACAGGCAACAGGGTGATGACAACTCTTCCCCACTCCTACTGCCTCCTCCTGCCCTGCGACCCTTGCAGAAGAAGCGGACACTTCTGCCCTTGCGGCGTGCCGAGCAAAGCAGTCTCATCGACCCCCTCCGCCTCGCTTTCCAGCCGCCCGAGACCAAAAATATGGTAAGTGGATGGGCTTTGGGGCAGAGACCTACGGAGGTGGGGGTGGTGGGAGTTAGAGGGAGGCATCGAGGCAGGATACCAAAGGATTGGGATCCTGGTATGCTTTAATAATTGTGAGCTTTGTATCCAGTGCCAGCCTTACTCAGAGTAGGTTCATGGAAGTCAATGACATGACTCACTTAGGTCCATTAATGTCAGTGCGTCTATTCTTAGTAGGGATCGCAGGATCTATCCATTTCAATTCTCTTAGGCCACATTTGCAGCATACCTTTGAAGCACTACTATACCACTTTGAACAGTCATGGCTTCTCCCCCAAAGCATTCTGGGAGCTGTAGTTTGTCAAGGGTGCTGATAACTGCCAGGAGACCCCTGTATTTCCCCCCCCCCCACACACACAGCTACAGTTCTCATTCTGGGGTTGGCCCTGTGAGTTTTCCTACCCCCGCACCCCCACTGCTGTTTTCATGCCAACTTCAGCTTTATTAATAAGGCAACCAAATGATAGTTGTAGCCAAGCAGAATCATACTAACATAATAATATTCATAGGAATTATACAAAACAAAAACGTGACCTATACAATATATCATTATGCGTTTTGGGGTACCAGACTCCCCTAAATTCCTGGATCCAGTAGATGTTAGAATTTAACCAACTCCTGAACCACTGGATCCAGCAAGGGTTAATGTATAACCCCCTGGCCAGTCTCCTGATGAGGTAATCGCCTGGGAGATGAGCCATTAAGAAAACAAAAGGAAAGGAATGGGCCATTAAGAAAGCAAATTAAGATGGCTCTATGCCAGACACAGGTGAGTAGGGCTCCTCCTTCAGTTCAGAGCTCGTTAGAAGAATGAAAACCAGGGTCTGGAGTTTTAGCATAGGCTGGAATGTGATTGGGAGAAAAAAGGTTTCAGTTTGGTAAAGGCGGCAAGCTAGAGAGAGGGTCAGAGCCATGTCTGATGTCTGTTGAAATCCAGGGCTGCAGCTATGGGGGAAACAAGACCCTCTTGGGACCAGGTTGTATATACGTGTAAATAAACCATATACCATAGAGATGCGACAGTCTGCACTGCGCCTCCTTTCCAAAGCGAAACACAGGTGATGCATAAATTGTGCCCGAAACCTCTCGAATCTTGCACTGCCCAGAGATGTACAATATAAAGCAGGCATAAAAATCCAGAATCTTAAATCTCGAGGAAGACTATATGACCTTGTCCAAGTTCAGCAGCTTTCCCTGTGAGCTCTATATGTCCAGTGGTGCCCTCTTTCTTTGGAGAGGCAGCGGTGGAATAGTGGTTAGAGTGCCGGGCTAAGACCAGGGTTCAAATCCCCCACTCCGCCATGAATCTCACTGGGTGTGACCTTCAGCCAGTCACTGCGTCTCACAGGGTGGTTTTGCGGATAAAATGGGGAGGAAGAGAAATGGGGAGGAAGGCAAAAACGTTCCTTTTTAATCAGGCCTTTGTTTGATCTTATTGACGCCCAACACCCTTTTAGAATGTGGCTTTTTGGGGGGGGGTTAATTAGGTTACTGCTTTTGGTTTGATTTTATATGTTGTAGTCTTGTTGTGAACTGCCCTGATACCTCCAGGTATAGGGCGGTGTATAAGTTGAATAAATAATAATAATAATATAATAAATGTGCACCTCACCTTGAGCTCCTGGGGTGGTGGGGAAAGGTGGAATATAAATGTAAACAAGTACCGTATTTTTTGCTCTATAAGACTCACTTTTACCCTCCTAAAAAGTAAGGGAAAATGTGTGTGCGTCTTATGGGGCGAATGCAGGCTGCGCAGCTATCCCAGAAGCCAGAACAGCAAGAGGGATTGCTGCTTTCGCTGTGTAGAGATCCCTCTTGCTGTTCTGGCTTCTGGGATTCATAATATTTTTTTTCTTGTTTTCCTCCTCCAAAAACTAGGTGCGTCTTATGGTCTGGTGCGTCTTATAGATCGAAAAATATGGTAAATAGATTTAGCTGTTATTAATTGTTGCCCAGGCCGGACAACAAGTTCTTTAACCTGACTCCTTTTGCTGGGGATAGCCTCCTCCTCTTGTGATTTCTCTGAACCTTTTTCGCGTAGGTGTTTTATGCTGTTTACTGTAAAACACGGGCGATGTCCTCTATCCGGGGGCTGATCAGCCCCACACGTGTCACTGACCCACACTTATTCCTCCCGCGCACACACCCTGCTTCTTTCCAGATGTCAGAATTACTGGGCTGTTTGCCAGCATCGCTCTTCGTGATCATTGCCTGCGTCCTTGACTTCCTGCTGTATACCATATTCAGCACCATCAAACACCACTCCTTTGTGGAGTATTCTTTCCGCAGTAAGTTATATGACCCCGGAAGGGAGGTTCCCCCTTTCCCCTCCTCTCCAGCCCTGCCTTAAACATCAGCTGGATATTTAGAAAACATCAAACGGGCAAATATGTATTAATTTCCTTTATTTTAGTACTAGGGTGGGAGAACCGTTCTTGTGCTGCAAGGCAAACCTGCGGTGACCCGAGAATGGGAATTCTCTGCTGCCGCCGCCTCTGTGCTGAACAATAAAATAAAATGGCATTGGTTACGTTACGTTTCATCCCGCCTCTTATCTCAGTTATCTGAAATAAAACAGCAAATTGCACAACATAAGCTGTTTTTATGCATATGCAAGAATGAAAGAAACGAATCAAATGCGTATAACTCAGAAGAATGTATCATAAGTTCATTGCAACGCACAACAGGATCTGATTTCCTTGCCTTACTTTGATCTGTGTTGGTGGGACACTCCCTACTTTTATGCTTTAAAAGAAACTCCATTCTAGCTTTTTGGGGGGTCTTGCTCAGCTGGTGCCCTGAGCACATAAAGGTAAAGGGACCCCTGACCATTAGGTCCAGTCGTGGCCGACTCTGGGGTTGCGGCGCTCATCTCGCTTTATTGGCCGAGGGAGCCGGCGTACAGCTTCTGGGTCATGTGGCCGGCATGACTAAGCCGCTTCTGGCGAACCAGAGCAGCGCACGGAAACGCCGTTTACCTTCCCGCCGGAGCGGTACCTATTTATCTACTTGCACTTTGATGTGCTTTCGAACTGCTAGGTTGGCAGGGGACTGAGCAACGGGAGCTCACCCCGTCGCGGGGATTCGAACCGCCGACCTTCTGATCAGCAAGTCCTAGGCTCTGTGATTTAACCCACAGCGCCACCCGCGTCCCTTGCCCTGAGCACATGCCTGTATGGCAATCCAGCACCACTCCCAGGCACCAGCAAGATGGCACAGAGTCATTTTAAGAGCAGGAAGGTTTTATGAGCGCAGCATTTATTGTTGGAAAAGCGGAATACAAATCAACAGCCCTATTGCAATGTGCTCTACGTGGGTCTGCTGTCAAAAATGACTCGAAAACTTCAGTTGGTCCAAAAGGAAGCAACCAGATTCCTGACTGGGGTTCCATTTAGATCTCGTATAACCCCTGCACCAGTTGCCAGTTTGTTTCTGGGTCCAGTTCAAGGTAGTGGCATAGCATGGGGGTGGCAGCACAGGACACAAAATTCTTAAGGTCACAAAATTTCAGCACCTGGTGCTGCCTCCATACAGCTGCGTGCTTCTGTCACTGGGCTCTGTTGAAAATGGCTTCTCCGTGTGAAGCAGGAAGTGACCTCTCCAGACAGCAAAACAACTTCTTCTTCTTTTTCCCTGTGGCTGCAATCTCCTGGGTGACACGGATGCCATTGGGCAGCTGAATGAGCATGTGTACTCCATCTGTTTCCCTCTCTCCCGCACCCTCCCCGCCTTGCCCCGGACACTTGCTACCCACGCTATGCCACTGGTTTAATGTGTTTATGTTGGTGTTCAAAGCCTGATATGGCTCACGCCGCAAATACCTTGAAAGACTGCCTTCTTCCCTCGGGTGTGTGATAGACAGAGGGGCCCCTCTTGGTCGTTCCTTTGCCCGCAGAGCCCTGAGGTGGTGGTGGGCTGCAAGAGGGCTTGTTCTCTGGTGGCCCCCAAAACTCCCTCCATACAGGCACATGTCTCACGCCTTCATTATGCGGCTTCTGGCAAATGTTGAGGACGCCCCTTTTCACCCTGGCACTTTGACACTTACTATTTTTGTGGTCACAAGTTGTTTTTACTTTTTTTAAAACAACAACAACATTGTGTTTTAATGTTGTGAGCCGCCCGTGGGATGGCTGGGGTGAAGAGCGGGTGATAGCTAACTAGCTAAATCCCTTCTCCTGCCCCTCTCTGCAGGCAGCCACCACTTGGAAGTCATAGTCGGAGGGAACACCATGATGGCCCGTCTCCTGCGCAGCACCATCGGGGCCCTGAACACCTCCTCGGAGATGGTGATGGAGACAAACAACCTGCGTAAGTTGAGAAGGAGTCCAGGCAAGGGCGCCGTGCAGAGGATGGAGACCGTAAGATTGGGGGTGGAGGGTATTTTCTGTGCAGTTTTCCTGGAAGTGGGGAGGGATAAGGCCCTACGGTCCAGGGGTTAGCCTCCAGAGCAGCTGCCAATAGTAGTAGTAGTAGTAGTAATAATAATAATAATAATAATAATAATAATAATAATTATTATTTTATTTATACTCCGCCCTCCCCAGCCAAGACTGGGCTCAGGGCGGCTAACACCAGGTATAAAAACAATTGATTAAAATACAACTTAAAAACAAGATTAAGCACAACATTAAAATGCAGCCTCATTTCAGTAGAAATGAGTGCTATGCATATGGGCCAGATTTAGGTTTGATGAGGCCCTAAGCTACTGAAGGTAATGGGGCCCTTATATGTCCAGCTGTCCTTTGTCAGCAACAAATAGTCACTGTTTTTTGTGTTGAATATATGCTGTATAGTAATTTATGGACCTAATAGGTATCAAAAGCCATTTGTGCATGTTGCCATGCAACCAGTCCACGCAGAATGTAGGCACCCTATATATAGAAATAAGCAAACCAGTGATATTTTAGGTAGCAGGCGGGGCCCATCACTTACATCCTAGGAGCCTACACAACACAAAACACTTTTGCTGTATGTAGGTTTTATTTTATTTGTTTTTTATCTTATATTTTGGAAATGTATGGTACATCCAGATTTTTTCCTTTAATTTTTTGGGGGGCCCCCAAGAGAGTGGGGCCCTAAGCTATAGCTTGTTTAGCTTATATGTAAACCCAGCGTGGCCTGAGAGGCCTGTCCACTTTTGCCCTCGGCCCTGCCCAGCGGAAGTTTTCCCAGAAGGCAATGCAGCCTTTGGGCTGAGAGAGGCTCCCTGCAGGCCTCCACTCGGGATTGAACAAGACCATGGCTGTTGCGCTCTGTCAAAGGTTGCCCCTCCGTATTATGAATCTGCATCCTTCTGTTGGTTGAAGGATTGGTTTTTGTTGGAGAACACTGATGTCCTAGATCTGGAAGGGTTTGACAATGCTTTTGGTTGGCATGCATATTTGTGGTACGACAAGGTTAAAGTTCATAAATTGTTTAAAAACCATATTGTCAGAAGAGCAATATTTATGGTCTGGATGAAATACAAAGACTTACTAGAGGGTAAGACCCCGAGGTGGTTATCACCGGTGGAGGCCAAGGCTCGAAAAAGACCCAACATGGAGGCCTACTGGCCGAAATATTGGGAAATAATTGAAAAAACTGGAGACAATTGGAGGTTGCAGAGCCAGGAGAAATTAAAAAACAAGGTGCGAGACTGGCTACACTATGCTCAAATTCAAGAGGTTTTTAAAATAGATAAAAAAGTTGGTTTCCAGGTGGAAAAATCGAAACTAGAGACGGAACTATTGGAACCAAAAACTAAGATACTCTCGAGAATGTATAACTTGCTGCTTAAATGGAACACACAGGATGAGACAGTAAAATCCGCCATGATAAAGTGGGCACAGGACATTGGGCACAACATTATGTTTGAGGACTGGGAAAGGTTATGGAACACCGGAATGAAATTCACGGCATGTAATGCCTTGAAGGAAAACATTATGAAAATGATATACCGGTGGTACATGACCCCAGTCAAGCTTGCTAAGACATATCACCTGTCTGACAACAAATGTTGGAAATGTAAGGAGGCTGAAGGGACATTCTTTCACCTCTGGTGGACTTGCCCAAAAGTGAAGGCCTTCTGGGAAGTGATTTACAATGAGTTAAAAAAGGTATTTAGGTATACCTTTCCCAAGAAACCAGAGGCCTTCCTTCTGGGCATTGTAGACCAGAAAGTGTTAAAGAAGGATAGAACTTTGTTTATGTATGCTACTACAGCAGCAAGAATTCTTATCGCAAAGTATTGGAAGACACAAGATTTACCCACACTGGAGGAGTGGCAGACGCAACTGATGGACTATATGGAACTGGCTGAAATGACTGGCAGAATCCGAGATTTGGGAGAGGAAACAATGGAAGAGGACTGGAAAAAATTTAAGGACTATTTGCAAAAACACTATAAGTTGTATGAATGTTAAGAACGTGCATGATTTGGAAATTTTAGCTTCAGCAACTCGATGTGGTGAATTGAAAATTAAGTTATAAGAAAGACGAGGAGGAAACATGAAATAACTATATTATGTTTATTTTAAGGCACAAACAATTGAGATACAGTATTTCGAATTTAGAAACATAATATTTGAAAGATACAGTAAGACATGAAATAAGGTAACAAATTGCTGATGTTTTTATTGCAAAGAACGCAGGGTTCGGAAGATGTGGGGAAGTCCAGTTGGAATGGTAAAAATATTTTGGAAAAGTTGGTTTTTTATATATTTCTTTTTCTCTTTGTTCTATTCTTTTTTCTTTATTCTGTATTTTTCTGACTGTTTGAAAGAAAATTTAATAAAATATTTATATATAAAAAAAAAGGTTGCCCCTCCGGTCCGTCTCTCTCTTTCTCTCTCCCTCAGACTGCTTGCCGGAAGCGCATGGAATGAGCAAGGAGCAGTACATGAGCTGCGTCACACCGCTGGGCGCCCTGATCCTGCTGTGCTTCGCGCAGGTCTACGTCTTCCGCATCCGCCGTGTCATCGCCGCCTTCTTCTTCCCCAAGGTTGGGACGCCAGGCCCCAGATTAAATGCACGCACTCACCCTGCCCAACACAAGAAATGTTCTCCGTTGCACTGTGAGGGTGACCAGCAGTGCCAGATTTACGTATAAGACACAAGTTATAGCTTAGGGCCCCACACTCTTAGGGCCCCCTAAAAATTTTTAAAGGGAAAATAAAACCTGGATGTACATTTCCAAAATATAAGATAAAAAACAAATAAAATAAAACCTACATACAGCAACAGTGTTTTGTGTTCTGTAGGCTCCTGTGATGTAAGTCATGGGCCCCGCCTGCTAGCCTGCTCCCTAAAATATCACTGGTTTGTTCATTTCTATATACAGTGGTACCTTGCTTCTCAAACTTAATCCGTTCCGGAAGTCTGTTCCAAAACCAAGGCGCGCTTTCCCATAGAAAGTAATGTAAAACAGATTAATCCGTTCCAGACTTTTTAAAACAACCCCTAAAACAGTGACAATTTGTTGTTGACAAAGGACAGCTGGACATATAAAGGGCCCCATTACCTTCAGTAGCTTAGGGTAAGGTTACCAGATTTTTTTCAGTGAATCCAGGGACACTTTTCAACTTCAATTGATTTTGTATGTGGACTGATTTGTAAATCCAGGGACTGTCCCCAGGAAACGGGGACGTCTGGTAACCTTAGCTTAGGGCCTCATCAAACCTAAATCTGACCCTGGCTACCAGGATGGTTGACGTCCATTTGCGGCCAGAACAGCCGGACGGCATAATAACAACGCTTTCTCTCCAGTCTCACGTTCTCTCTCTCTCTCTTTCAGAGGGAGAAGAAGCGCATTCTCTTCCTCTACAACGAGATGCTCCGGCAGAGGATGGCTTTCATCATCGTGCAGCGGAAGCGCATCATCCTGCGCGTGCGGCAGCGCAAAAGACTGGTGAGTGGAAGAACACAGGCAGCTTCGCTGAATTGTAGAGTCGGGAGGGAGCCCCAGGGGTCATCTAGTCCAGCCCCCTACACTGCAGGCATCGCAGCTGAAGAATCCAAGACAGATAGCCGTCCAACCTCTGCTTCGAAATGTCCAAGGAAGGAGAGTCCTTCCCTGGAAGTCCGTTCCACCGTTGAACGGCTCTCGCTGCCAGAAAGTTCTTCCTGATGTTTAGTCGGAATCTCCTTTCTTGCAGTTCGAAGCCCATTGGTTCAGGTCCTGCCTCCCAGAGCAGCAGAAAACAAGCTTGCTCCATCTTCCATGCGACAACCCTTTAGATATGGCTCCCATGTCACCCATCATGCTTTATAAAGACTAGGACTAGCCGCCTGAGAAACAGTTTCTATCCAAATGCGATTTTGGTTTTAAACACAGTGTAAGGTAGTCTTTTAAAAGGGACGCGGGTGGCGCTGTGGGTTAAACCACAGAACTTAGGTCTTGCCGATCAGAAGGTTGGCGGTTCGAATACCCGCAATGGGGTGAGCTCCCGTTGTTTGGTCCCTGCTCCTGCCAACCTAGCAGTTCGAAAGCACGTCAAAGTGCAAGTAGATAAATAGGTACCACTCTGGCGGGAAGGTAAACGGCGTTTCCGTGCACTGCTCTGGTTCGGCAGAAGCGGCTTAGTCCTGCTGGCCACATGACCCGGAAGCTGTATGGCGGCTCCCTTGGCCAATAAAGCGAGATGAGCGCCGCAACCCCAGAGTCGCCCACGACTGGACCTAATGGTCAGGGGTCCCTTTACCTTTACTTAAGGTAGTCTTTATGTGAGTATATTGTATTCAATTATGGGGTATCAGAGTTTTTAGGGGCTAACCAGGCTGGGATAGCAGGCTTGTGGGTTTTTGAATGTCTGATGTAGATTTTTTCAATTTCGTTGTTCTTTATGGGACAATGACAATAAAGATTATCGTATTGTATTGTACTCCAGGTTAAACATACCCAACTCCATCTGCCGTTCCTCACATTATCTCATTTCTTCTTTATTTCAATGTGCTATTGAATAACATGTTTTTGGTTGAATAAAAGGAAGGATTTTCCCCAAACAGGCTTGCTCCCAGTGTGGATTTGCTTGTGAGCACCTGTTCTCTGCCCCCAGTGCATCTAGCGCACGAGTGTTTGGGCAGTTCTGTGCAATCCATCAAATCTCTGCCCGAAGGCAACACCCTGCCCCCCGTTTCCTGCCCACTTGAGCCCCCTACCTTTCCACCTCCCCTGCTGCGCGGGGACCTCAGGGCAAGGCTTCCTGTTGGCTCAGCTGATGGGCCTCCGCCCATTCCCTCCCACTGGGGACCACTGAGTAAACCAGCAGCCTAGCCGGGGGCTTTTAAGCACCTGATGATTTAGCAGAGCAAGGGTCAGATAGTTTCATTCCAGGAGCTTGGCTGAAAAACAAGGCACATTCAGGCTCCACGACTATACGAAACGCTGGTTCAATTGGACCCGGGCCAATCTCTCTACCTGCAGGGGAAGGGAGGGGTGGCATTATTATTTTTTAGAGCATTTGCACCCCACTTTTCAGCCCTAGAACGGCTTACCTACAAGCAGTTGAAACAAGATTGTCCCTGCCTGCAGGCCTACAGTCTAAAAAGAAGGCGCACAAAGGAAAAGGTGCAGGGAGGGAAGAGGGGGAAAGGAAACTCAACATGGATTGTACCACTTCAGATTGCAGGCATGGGGGTGGTGGTGGAGAGAATTCCATTTTAAATGGCTCTGGAATCTGGATCCTAAAAAGAGACTGTCGAATGCCAACGTTTTGAAACGGCTTGTTCTATTTTTATTCCGGTGAAGGTTGTCGGTTTTGTTATGTAATTTAATGTTGATGTCCCCAGCACCTTCTCGACTTGGATATATTTCCAATCAGCAGTCTCCTTTCTTCCCCAGGTGTTTGTTGAAGGATTCTAAGAAATACACCCAAAAAAGTCTGTGCTGTTCTGAAACTGGTGGTTAAAATCAGGGCCGTTTTGAAAGGTTCAGTCGGCCATCTTGATTCAAAATGGCGCCCAGTTGTATCCAAACAGAGATGAAGACTCACTCCTTTGAACGCAGGAACTGCCGTATGAAATCCTTAGCAAGGATATTGTAATAATAATAATAATAATAATAATAATAATAATAATAATAATAATTGTTTATTTATACCCCGCCCTTCTGGCTGGGTTTCCCCAGCCACTCTGGGCGGCTTCCAACAAAGTATTAAAATACAGTAGTCTGTTAAACATTAAAAGCTTCCCTTAAGAGGGCTGCCTTCAGATGTCTTCTGAATGTTAAGATGTCTTCCGGATGTTAAGAGGCATCCGGAAACATGTGGCGAACAACTTTCCCTTCAGTGGAAATTCCTGCATTGCATGGGGTTGGACTAGATGACCGTTGGGGTCCCTTCCAACTCTGCAACTCTGATTCCATGATATAATGTAGGCGGATAGCTCCCTTTCTGGCTGGGGCTGAGCACCTCCCTCCCTTCTCTCCTCCCGCTGCAGGAGAAGCCCTTCCTGGACAGGCTGGGCCGCTGGCTCCCGTTCCTCCAGCGGTTTCTCCGCAAGTACTGCATCCTCTGCGGCCTGCCCCAATCCAGCAACTCCAAATTGTGCCCAGACCCCGAGTGCGGGACCCTCTACTGCCGGATGTGCTGGCAGGACATGGGGCGGGTCTGCTTTGCCTGCAGCCCTGAGGAACTCCTGTCCTCCGATGACAGCAGCGAGGACCAGACAGGCTATGCAGATTGAGGCAGTCAAAATGGCACCCACCCCGCTTTTTTGTTATTAAATGTTTGGTTTGGTTGTTCGTTTTCCTAATCTTGCTTTTTCTTTTTTGAAATAATTTTCATTCAATTTTACAAATATAAAATTATAACTATACAGTGGTATCTCGGGTTACAGACACTTCAGATTTCAGACTCCGCTAACCCAGAAATAGTACCTCGGGTTAAGAACTTTGCTTCAGGATGAGAACAGAAATAGTGTGGCAGTGGCAGCGGGAGGTCCCATTAGCTAAAGTGGCACCTCAGGTTAAGAACAGTTTCAGGTTAAGAATGGACCTCCAGAACGAATTAAGTACTTAACCCGAGGTACCACTATACAACCATACACATTTAAGGATTCTTCCGAATCTCTAGACTTCTCACCATCCCCTCCATGCGTCCTATTATTAAACCTTCTCTACTGCATCTTCTCTACTGTCCATATTTTATATAACTCCATTACCTCCATAGTGCTTGCTACGTACATTACAAGTGTTATTGCAATCCTGCTAATGTTTTCATCTGCTTATAGTGGTCTCCAAGATAAATTATAATTTTTTCTCATCCTGTGTTAAAGTTTGGTCTTCTTGGCTCCTGAGATTTCCTGTCAGTTTCGCCATTTCAGCATAGTCCAACAGTTTAATTTGCCATTCTTCTCTGGTAGGGACTTAAGTCTTTTCTGCTCCCTTGGAATTTCAGCTCCTACAATTTCTAATAGAAAAGCCTCTGGGTTGTTGTTGTTTAATCAAAGTTAATCTGAACATTTTTTTCAACTCATTATATATCATTTCCCAGAATGCTTTTACATATTACCTTGCAAGACCCTTACATAGGATAAAAGGTGCCTTCTTTTTCTTTACATTTCCAGCAGATATTTGTACCTATCTTAGACATTTTTGCTAACTTACTGGGAGTCAAATACCATTGGTACATCATTTTCATATAGTTTTCTTTCAACGTACAGCACGCCGAGAATTTGAAATCAGTTTTCCATAACCTTTCCCAATCTGAAAGTTGGATATTATGCCCAATTATACCCCTATTATGCCAGGGTCCTTTACCTTTACCTATGATTTTTAATATTTATTTATTTAATGCATTCATTTCAAAGATTTATATACTGCTTGCCCATCACAAAGCCCTCGAAACAATTTACAAAAAGAATGAAAGAATAAAATCATCAGTAAAATAAAAAGTTAAAAAACAGTAAGCTATAAAAACCAGATTTTAAAAACCGGCCAACATTCTACATATCTGGGTAGGTTTGCTTAAACAGAAATGTTTTTAGCAGGTGCCGGAAAAGACCTGACATCAATAGGCAGGGAGTTCCAAAGGGCGACTTCTTACAAATGTGGGACGACGACTATGCGGGTGTTACGCGCGGATTGCAACAGGGCCAGTCCTGCAGATTGGAGCAGCGGAGGGGGCGTGTTTGGGGTAAGGCGATTTCGCAAGTAAGATGATGATGATGATATTTTTTATTATTGTTGTTGTTATTGTTATTATTCTGTTTGGCAACACCTGTCAGGTCCAAAATGCCATGCCTCGCCCTTCCCGCTGGGGAAGGGAAATCCCGAGCCTCTCCACCGCCCCCCTTCCCCGCTGCTGCTCGGTGCCAATCCCTTTTCGGAGGCGGCGCCGCTTCCCAGCCTCGGAGCCCCTTCTTCGGCCGGGCGGAGAAGCTGGCGCCTCGCCCGCCCGGTGCGCCCTCCTTGGGCGCGTCCCGGCCCTGCGCCAGCCGGGGAGGAGGGCGAGCTGCGCAGGGCGGGCGCGCCGCGGCTTCTCGGGCCGGGCTTTGGCAACGCGCAGCCGGGCGGAGGCTGAAGGTCGCTTGGGCAGGAAGTTCCCGTTCTCGGGCGGGCCCAGCAGCTGCGCTGCAATGCGAGGCGGGAGGGCGGGCGGAGGCGGCGGCGGGGCCGAGGAGGAGGCGGCGGCCCCTGATCCGTTGCAGCCCGGCCCCGGGGAGGGATTTAGCCGGAGCCTTGGCTGCTGCCCTGGCTGCTGCTCCGGAGCCAAGCTGCTCCCCTTCCCGGCCGCCCCGATCTCCGGCTGCTCTCCAAGCGAGCGCCCCGAAAGCGCCGCCAAGGGCGCACGGACCTCTCCAAGGAGCCGGCGGCTGTTGCGCGCTAGGGCGCACTGTCGGGGCGAGTCTTCCCGCGGCTCCCCGGCGGCTGCGAGAGACGCATGGCGCTGCTTTGGGGGGTCGGCGTACTTCTGGCTTCCTGTGCTCCCTTCGGGGTTGGCGGCTTTCTCCCCGGAGCGACGCCGGAGGAGCGCGAAGGCACTTCGAGAGCACGGAAGGACGGTGAGTCAGAGAGGCGTATGCCGCTTACCCCTTTCCCCGCCGCCCCTTGGGGCCGCCTTCACACGTTACTTCTTCCCAAGCGCGGGTCCGTTTGCAGTCAGCTACCACGCAGGCTGACCCGGGAAGCGAGAAAGCCGCGGCGGAGTTGGGAATCCCGAGTAAACACGCATGAAGATTTGCAGCATTAAAAAAAATGGAAGCATAGCTTGGCTTGTTTTGATCCGTTACAACAACCCTGCAAGGTAGGTGGGTTATTGTGAAGCTTCCTTATTTCAAGTCAGGCCATTGGTCCATCTTCTGTATATCCACACTGGCTGCCTAGCAGCAGCAGCTCTGAGTAAAGGTGCTTTTATTGCCAAGCTTACCTGGAGATACTGGGGATTTAACTTGGAGCCGTTTGCATGCAGAGCAGGTGCTCACAATAATAAATCAGGCCAGCATTATTGCGTGTTGCAGAGAAAACAGCAGCTTGTCAGTAGTGAGGTGGGAGAGGTAGGAGCGGAATTTCCTGATGACTCAAGTTGCAGTTCTATTCATATCTGCAAAGAAGTCATTCCCGTTGGATTCGATGGTAAGTGGCATTAGAATTGCAGCCTCTCTCTTCTAAGCTGTTATACCAGGGTGGGGAAACCTGTGTATTTCTCTCGCCAAATGTTTGCGGACTCCAGGTCCCATCAGCCCATGCTGGCTGGAGCTGATGGGAGCTGGAGTCTGACATCCTTTGGACCTCTGTAAATGCATTTTTATGTGATCCCTGATTGGTTAGGACATGATTGGTCCAGGACAGGAGTGGAAAACCTGTAGACCTGCCGATGTTGCTGGACTACAGCTCCCATCATCCCTGACCGTGGGTGCCATGCAGTGTGCATGACCCTGGCATGCCCAGCCCCTTCCTAGGAAATTTTGAGGGTGCTCGGGCACCCAGTGCCCCAGGGAGTTGGCATCTATGCCCCTGAGCTTTGGCCAAACTGGCTGGGACTGATGTGAGCCAGACAACATCTGGCGTGTGACAATTTCCCCATCTCTGCCTGTGGTTTAGTTTATCCCACCATGGAGCCATTGGCCAACCCTCTTCATTGGAGTCAGACAAGATGAAGGTGCTCCTAAGCATGTTCAGAGGGCATTTGCATTAAAAAGGTAAAGGGACCCCTGACCATTAGGTCCATTTGTGGCTGACTCTGGGGTTGCGGCGCTCATCTCACTTTATTGGCCAAGGGAGCTGGTGTACAGCTTCCGGGTCATGTGGCCAGCATGACTAAGCCGCTTCTGGCGAACCAGAGCAGCGCACGGAAACGCCGTTTACCTTCCCACTGGAGTGGTACCTATTTATCTACTTGAACTTTGACGTGCTTTTGAACTGCTAGGTTGGCAGGAGCAGGGACCAAGCAATGGGAGCTCACCCCGTCGCAGGGATTTGAACCGCCAACCTTCTGATCGGCAAGTCCTAGGCTCTGTGGTTTAACCCACAGCGCCACCCGCGTCCCTGGCATTTACATTGTCACACAGTAAATAGACCCATATCAAATATTAGAGGGGGAATTTCCAAAATGGAGGGGGAGGGGAGTTGCTGCTAAAAGATTTAACCCCCCCCCTTACAAATTAAACACTGAGTCGTTTAGGCATGTTTTCATCGCGTTCAATGGGATTGCTCTCAAGTAAGTATGACAATAAGATTGCAGCCCTTAACTGCCCTGCCCTGGAAAATAACTGAAGTGAACGCTCTAGACAGGTGCCTCTTTGAAAACGTGTCTTGCTCATCTAGAAAGCCGGGATTGGCGCTGTTTTCTGACTGCACCCTTGGTTGTGTGAGTCTGGGCTTCCTGTATGGTGTTTGGTCTATTCTTGCCCTCTGAATCAGCAGCCGAAAGAGCCAGTTTTTGCCCTAGTTCAGTGGCGGAGCAAGTGCATTGCACACAGGAGGTCTCAGGTTTCATCCCTGGCATCTCCAGGTGCCAGGAGAGACTCCCTCTCTGAAAACCCTGCAGATCTGCTGCCAGTCAGTGTAGACAGTACTGAGCTTTGATGGGCCTGACTTGGAAGAAGGCAGCTGCCTATATTCCTAGGTTCTCTCCCCATCATGGGTGGAGGTTGCTGATAGCCGGAGAAGGCAGGTGAGGAGGATTTGGGGGGTGGAAGGGACGCGGGTGGCGCTGTGGGTTAAACCACAGAGCCTAGGACTTGCCGATCAGAAGGTCGGCGGTTCGAATCCCTGCGACGGGGTGAGCTCCCGTTGCTCGGTCCCTGCTCCTGCCCACCTACCAGTTTGAAAGCATGTCCAAGTGCAAGTAGATAAATAGGTACGGCTCCAGCAGGAAGGTAAATGGCGTTTCCGTGCGCTGCTCTGGTTCGCCAGAAGCGGCTTAGTCATGCTGGCCACATGACCCGGAAGCTATACGCCGGCTCCCTTGGCCAATAAAGCGAGATGAGCACCACAACCCCAGAGTCGGTCACAACTGGACCTAATGGTCAGGGGTCCCTTTACCTTTACCTCCATTTTTTAACAGTGGTTTGAGATGGAGAAATCAGCAGGTGAACTTTCCATGACATGGAAAGGAATACGATCACCTGTTCACTGCTGCAGGTCAAATTGCTGTTAAAGGCGTAGCTGCAGAAGTTGGCAACGCTAGACCAAACATCCATGAGTTTGTTTTCCAACAGGTTTATGAAACCAAGAGCCCTCTCCTCACCGTTAATCTCTCTAGCCCATCCTTGGTTACTTCAGACACGGTTGGGACTACA